CTCTAAAAGATCGATGAAATCACATATAACAGAACCATCAATAACATATTGTGATAATTCCAAAGCAAGAAAACTACTTAATTTTTCACCTTCGACAAGTGTGAGAGAAGGATTAGAAAAGACATGGAAATGGTTTGAACAAGAGTATGATGTTATTACGACTGATGAGGATTCTGATTAAATATTAAATTTATAATAAAACTAAATTAATATGTTTTCGTTTTTTTTTAATATGTATGATAAAGATAGATGTGTTTATTCGTGTATTTTAAGTTTGAAAATAAATTTCAAATTTTGTTAGATAAAATGAGCATAGTGATATTTATTGTATTTTTAATCTCGACTTCGTTCCTAATCTTGAATAGTTGATTGAACTAAGTTAATGGACAATTACCTATACTTTTCATCATGTGGCACACAAAATAAATGGTAACAAAATTCTACATTTCTGTTGTAGCTTCAAGATATTTGACGTTCATCATTAATATTCTCAGCTTTAACGATAAAGTATTTTTTTAGAATCGATATAGTCAAAAGATCTCAACAATCTTGAGTCTATAGTTAAAAAAATCTATTATTTACATTCGATAATATGATTTCGATATAAACAAAAATACATTATTAAACTAATATGCAAATTTCAAAAGTATAAGATCATTATAATGCATTTCAAAGAATGTAGTACTTGAACATGAAAAACTATTCTCAGATAATTATGAAAACAATTTTAGAAATTTATTGTAAATAGGACTTAGTTAATTCAACTAATTTTTTTAGATACATGACGATCAAAAATTCTTGTTGATAATACTATTTTTGTTTTGATAAAAAGATTTAATTAATATTTAACATTGATCAATATCAATAATTATAAATTAAATAAAGGAAGAATATTTATAAATGCTTTTTATTATGATTCAACCGGAGTTTTATTTATTGATAAACATCAATCAAATGATTAATTTTGAAAAACTATAATAGACCAATGTTATCACATGAGTTTCTGGTTCACAGAATTTGTAATATTATGATGTAAAAATTAATTCTATAGTTGTCAAAATCTATCGTTTCCTCTCATAATGTCATGCATTGCGATTATTTTAAATATTTAGTGTTGTAAAATTCGATCATCGATGATTATTACGTAGAATTGTGAACGAGGCAATAGTTTCTGTAAGTTAAACATCTATATCAATAACACATGTTAATTCAATCGTTTTTCTCATAAATTGTAAAAGACAGTTTGACTTCTTTACAAAATTAGAATGAAAGTATTTGTACTTATGTTTCTTTGAAGAATGCATTGCGACGGAATACAATTAACAGAAGTATTTATTAAGTATTGTCTTTCAAATCCTCGTCTTATGAACGCAATTCTGCAGTATTTTATATAATAATAAATTATAAAACATCTAGGCAAGTTTCATATTTCATATTTTTAATTAAATTCAAATAGAACTATAATTATCTTTAAGATGTGGTATAATGAACCTAGTATATTCTAATAAATAACAGATCTGTTTAATTTATTTTTATTTTTTCATACTAAGTTTCATGTTCTTCAGCATGTTTATCTATTTTCTTTTATAATGAAATATTTCTATAGATTAAATCATCGGTGCGTATGAAATCTAGTCTAGATTAGTATAGAAAATTTAGATATGCTTCATAAAGTCCATTTATATCAATATAAAATATTATTATGTAATTGATTGATGTTGGGGAAACATAGACATACTGCTTCTATCATTAGATTTTAATCGTCAGTAGTAAAAGTTCCTATATCGTCTACCTTTTAACGAGTCAGATTTTTATTCATGAATAGTTTTCAATAGAAAACAATGATTTTTAAGTGATTTGTCTAATATGATTTAAGATATTTCTCTGCATTGTAGCAATATTTTCGTTTGTAATAGTACAGTCAATGACGTCTCCATTTAGATGTACTCATACAAATTGACTAGCGAAATGTAGTTTAGGTATATTGAGATCTACTAATATAGAGAATAATTCGCTCGTATCACTATAGATAAATTATTTCATATAGCCAATACGAGACAATATTTAAGGTGTGGGTGTGCGTGAGATAATCATAGTAGTTTCGTTCACTTCTACACCATTGTCCACACTCATTCTTCCGAACATTTTATCGTTTTTCTTTTATCTGGAGATCGTAACAGACTACTACTACTGGAGTTCGGAATGACGAAGGGTTACGAAACGTAATTTTCCCATATTGAAGAGTACACTTCGAGAAACTAGAAACCAAGTATGTTTTATACCTTGAAAATATTTTTCAATTCTCATCGTGTAAAACGAAATGAATTAGACAATGTAATCTTCACGAAACATAAAAACTTCTATTCAAAATTTTTATCTTATCTCTCACATACTATAGTTATACAGATTTCTCAGATTAATTCTTGTGTTCTGTGTCTAATTATGAAAAAATATATTTTTCCTCTATTCATACAATCAATTGATTACATCGTTTTTTTTTAGAAAGTGAATTTTAATTTATTCAAATAATTTTTTTTGTAATGGGTTGTTCATCATCCATAAATACAGCATTTAATATATCTCCTAAACATACATTATTAGATCAAAAGCAAGAATTATCAAAGGAGAAAACTATTCCACAATCAGTACGTTTTCTTGAAAATAATCGTATTATATGGTTATGTGAAGAAAGTTCGAATATGTTTGAAAATGAAGCGGAACAATTTCAAAAACGTGTTTATGGATTAAAAAGATTTAACAATGTCGATACATGTCTTACCTTCATTACAAATATTCAAGATGAAAAAGTTTTTCTTATTATATGTGGTATACATCGACCTGTCGAATGTTTTTACCATTTATCACAACTTGAGAAAATTTATATAATCGGTTCATCATCGAATAAATTCAATCATGAAAAAACTCCAACTATCCAACATATCAGTATTGTTAATATAGATAGTCTTTATCGACAACTTCAGGAAGATATAGAATTGTCTGAAATGGATTTTACACTTATTGATACAGTACCTGTATCATTACAAGAAGTTTCATTTTCATCACATTTAATGAAACAAGAAGCATCGTTTCTATTTACACAAATGGGTAAAGAGATAAGCTATCGTTTAAAACTTGAAAGTGGTTCTAAAGATGTTTTAATCGATTTTTGTCGAACACATTATATAGATACCGATGAACAATTACATATGATTGATGATTTCGCGAAAAATTATCGTCCAAACAAAGCATTACGATGGTTAATAAATCAATGTTTTATTTCAAGAATATTAAATCGTGTACTTCGCACTCGTGAACTTGATATTGTTTACAAACTAGGATTTTTTCTTCGACAGACAGGTTTACAACTTCATCGTTTATATGAAGATAATGCATCATTAATGAAACAAATTTCAATTGTTTACCGTGGTAAAACATTATCATCGAATGAATTTGATAGTTTAATAAAGAATAATTGCGGTGGTCTTCTTTCATTTCCTAGTTTTTTAATAACTACGATTAACAAAGATGTTTCCATTGATTTTATTCATCGTCGACTTGCGATACATCCTGATATGATTGGTATTATTTTTGAAATACATATTAATGATACGGTTGCCGATAAAAAAAATCCATTTGCCTTACTTAAAGATATAGATATGAATAGAGATGAAGTTTGCTTTCATATAAGTTCTGTTTTTCGTATGGAATCTATGGAACAAATTACTACTAATAGAATGATCATATGGTCTGTAAAATTAAAATTAATTAATGATAATGATGAACAATTACTTCGTCTCGTAGCATCAGTTCGAATTGATGAACTACTTGCTAATCCAGTTTCTTATCTAGGTAAATTACTTATTGATATGGGCGAACATCGACGTGCTGAACAAATTTTTCTTGAATTACTACAAGATGTTTCTATTCGTAGTCAACCACAACGTCTTGTACGTGCGCATAAGGGTCTCGGCAGTCTTTATTTATATAAGAATGAATATACTACAGCATTATATCATTTCCAACAAGAACTTCAAACAAGTTTAATTTATTTACAACCTAATCATCCAAATCTTGTATCTATTTATAGAAAACTTGGTGATTGTTACTTAAAACAATGTGACTATATTCATGCGATAGAACATTATGAAAAAGCAATTGAATTATTAGAATATGATACACAACAATCGAATTCTGAAACTATTAGTGATTTATATAATCGTATTAGTGATGTAAAACAATCAGTCAAAAACGATAGCTCGATTTAATTTCTTTGTTTATAGTATTAAATAATGGATATATTATGAAATAAAAAAATGCGCTGAGATACTATCGATATTGTTAAATAAAATTAACAAATAGGTGCTATATTTGTTCTTTTCTTTCTCACGTCACAAAAACTATATTAGTAGGTAAAGTTTATCATTGATTGTATTCAAATTGTGATCATCGATATAAAGAAAATATCAAAGAGTCGAGGATGGCATAGTGGTCTATGCGTCTGACTGTTAAGTCAGATATCAGAAGGTTCGATACCTTCCCTTGGCTCGTCGGGTGATGGTGATGATCGAAGAATGGAAGGAAGAAGAAATATACAGTTCGTACGAAGAATAAACAAAGAATCACGTGGACATGGTTATATACGACCTCGCCAGTTTGTTTGTTTTCTCCTCTTTGTAACTCCTTTCTTCACTGTGTTATCATCATTGTCTTTTCGTAAGCGTCCTCTAAAATTGTACTTGTACTAACAAAAATGACAAAAATATCCTGGACGGAACGAAATAAATACCGCATAATCAAAAAAAAAAAAAAAAAAAAAAAAAGAAAATATCAAACCAAAGCAATGATCAATTTCTTTGTAATGGGTGAGGGTGGTTGTGTGTATTCTTCTCATTTACTAGCTACATCCACATTCTCAAGATTATTTACATCTTTGAATGTAAATTTGACAATAGTTCCAGTTAGATATTTTTATTGAAACATAATCATTGGTATTAATATATAACACCAAAATGAATTTGTTACAAAATTCTTATCAGTATATTCATTTTTTATTTTCTATTCACAAAAGATATTTCTACGCTCATCCAACCTTATTTACAAGCAAAATATCGATTCTAAATTTTTTTATTAATTGTTAGTATTTTCCTCGTTATTTACAGAACTTTTCTGATTCAGAAAAATATCACAAAAGATGTTTTGATGAAAATCATACAGTTAAATTCACACATGATAAATATAGCATAGTGAAACTACTTGTTCTATGCATTTATTTTGTTTCTCTCCAACAATTATTAAAATCGTATTATTTATACATTATCAATATAACAAAAGGCACAAATGTATATATTTCAAAGACGAAAAATAATGTTTTGCGCACAACCACTTAGTATTATAAATGTAGAATGCCAAAATAAACTTTTTTGTCTTCGTAATATCAGTTTTCGTCAAGTAAGTAAATTCAAAGCTAATTGCCGACCAGATATTACTTATTTGAGTGAGTTTATACTCGTTTCTGAGCACATTCTACACACAACAAAATGCTAAATGATATTTAATTCTGTAGAATTATAATATTTTATAATGAATTAAGTATAATCTAAAACCATTCACATTTTATCGGCATCTACATTCCACACTTTCAAGATTTGTATGACATTATTTATTTATTAAGCAAGCAAAAAAAAGAAAGAGTAAAATATAATAAACGACAATGAAAACTGAATCAGTCAAACTAATAAAATGTTGTGTAATAATGAAAGCGAATGGATTTTTTTTGTTTTTTGTGCGACATCACTGGACATACTCGAAGCAGGCAATGTATTTTTAATAAATCAGGCAGCATAAGCGTATTTGTGTGAAGTTTGCTTGTATAAATTTATAGTTTCAAAAATTTTTGCACACGTTTGTTGCCAAAATCAGTAATGTACATGTTCATATTCGAGTCAAATGCAATACCTCTTGGTCCATTTAATGTCGTTGGAGTACCACCAGAAACACCAGTTCCAGCAATGGTAATACCTGTTCTACTGTTGGCACAAAACATTTGAACTCTATGGTTGTTTTGATCGACAACGAACATATTTAGATATTTGTCAAGTTTAATACCCATCGGATTATTTAAAAGAGTAGAGTTAGAGCCGGTTGTACCTGGCACACCGGCAATGAAAGTACTCGAAGAAGCACCAGGTGTCCAACGAATTACTGAATGTCCAAGATAATTTGTGATAAAAAAATCACTACTTACAGATGGCTGATACCAAAGACCCCACGGTTGGTTCAATGATATGATAGTGTTTCCACCAGCGACAACTGTTCCGTTGTTACCTGAGGTCGAATTTGTTGAGTAGCGCATAATACGATGATTATAACTATCAACAATATATATATATGCTTGTGTCGGGTCAAGAGTAATATATCGTGGACCGTTCAATTGATTTAATGAAGATCCACGTGACTCACTTAGACCAGCAATCGTGATTCCACTGTTTGATCCGTTAATATATTTTTGTACGCGGTGATTATAGTGATCAGATACATACATAGTTCCATTTGTATCAACATAGACACCTTGAGGATGATCTAGTTGAGTATTACTTGATCCCTTTGAGTCTTTTATTCCAGCAATCGCCGTTGCACTTGTAGCATTCTTCAATAATCTCCATACAACAGTACTAGCAATCTCATCCGTAATATATAAAGTATTATTTGAGTCTATGTATATATCCACGACATGTGTTACTTGTGATGAATCGAGTATGGTAATTCCTGATGTATTCCAAACATAATTACCAGTTGTACCTAGAAATCATACAAGTGATATATTAATAAGATCTGATCCGTTATCTTATCGAAATATGTACATTATAGTTCGAGCGCATCTCAGCTGATCAAATCAAAAAACTAAACATCAGAATACATAAGATCTAATAGAGACAAGATTTTCTATATGACCTTGTCACTAGGATTCAACAATATCGCATAGATTTACTATTCGAAAGGTTTGGTCTAATTTTGAATAATACATTTAGGTAGAAACCTTACAAGAATTACATAATACAAAATGAATAAGATTATATAATACAAAATTTGCCATATCTTATACTAATAAATATAAGGTTTTTGAATACAATAAACTATTGTGAGATCTGGTACGACGAATCTGATACATCCTTATTAAATCGAATATGAGAATGTGTACAAAAATGCGCATATATCCATATCGGTCATTACAGTCAACTATAGATATTTTCAGACTCTAGTTATCTTTATCAAAGCAAAAGTTACAGAGATAGAAATGTAGATATAAAGAATAAAATTCAAAGATGTGTTGTGGGTCATTAGTATAGTAATAAGAATATCATACTGTACGAGTTTGTGTCTATCATTTGGTTTTCTACGTATTTTATAGTAAAGATCGATAAAAAGTATAATAGGTTCTGATACGATCATACATAATATGGAATGATAATCAACGATTAATCTTATCATATAATTGTATGATCTATGTAGGATTCAGTATTAATTTATATGTCTCGCTGTATTCTTATATTGTTCCTATTAATGCTGCACAGTCAAAATCTAGGTTTTACTTATCCGCACTACATAATGATAAGTGCATAATTGGAACTAAAAGTGCAAAATACCAAGATTAAACATAGAAAAAATATTTTGCATCAAAAATATTGACTAATAAATATGGAAACTACTCTTTCGTCTATGTGAACAATAGTGAAATGAATGATAATATATTTAACTCATATCTTCTTTATAAGTTATCTACCCTGTTCACCAGTGCCTAAAGCTATAGCTTCAGTCACTCTACATCGTATATAGGTTCTTGTGGATATCACCCATTTTGAGCAACTAATATATTAACATGGAATTATTCTTTTTTCGCTGATGTATTTCAGATATTCTTATGGTTACAAACCCTTCTTAGAAGCAAATTTTCAGGCAAAGCTTGAGTATTCATTCTATCTATAAATTCTATCTAGTGGAAAGAAAATCAGTGTAATAATGCTGACGATACATCAACAGTGAACGAAAAGGAATACTTTGCAAGTCAGTTCTAGCTCACTGTGCCATAACTAAAGAGAGGCAATTCTTCTGATCACTTCCTTACATAGAATATCAAATTTCGATAGACTCAATGAATGTTATTTTCTCAATCTATTTTAACACGAGAATCATTCGACTGCTATCCGAAAATAACACAAAACTACTTTCGTCAATGATTTTCATAAGCAACTAAAACTAATGATTTCAATGAAGAGTACACCAAAACTGAACAACACATTTTCTTACTAACATGGATTTATTGTTGTTGTAGTTGATATTGTTGTTGAACTTGTTGTTGATATTGTTGTTGAACTTGTTGTTGATATTGTTGTTGAACTTGTTGTTGATATTGTTGTTGAACTTGTTGTTGATATTGTTGTTGATGTTGTTGTTGATGTTGTCGTGGTCGGTTCTATATTACAAAGGTAAGTTTAGAATGAGAGTAAGCGACTGGATACGAGTTTACTCCTAATTACTTACTTCTTCTTCTCTAACTATTATATCTGTTAGAAATGTGAGTGCATTGTGATAGAAGAATAAATCTTTAGACAGCTACCATTGTAATTGTACTTCTACAGTCTTTACTTTAATTAAATCTCTAGCATAAGAATCCTGACAAATGGTTTTATGTTTCCTATAATTTTAGTGATGACAGTTTTAGAATTATCCAGATGAACTTCTATAACATTTGCATATTGTTGCTGTTCTTGAAATATTTCATTTTCATTCAAGTCCATACCTTGTTCAGAAACGAATGCTAACTTAAAGACCAAAACTCACAGCTCATGAATATCTGTTACAAAATCGAATGAACTCATCTTGAGGGCGGATGTAGATGTAGGTATCTCTTCCTTTAGCAAAACACTCACACTCTTTTATTACGAATTTGAAAAAATTCTTTGATATTCTCGCTTAGAAATATAATATATAAGTTCTTATGATAAACAATAAAGTTCTACTACTGTCAGTTGAAATAATTCATCTTGTATTAATTTCAAAATAAATAATTGTTTCAGTTTGACTACCTACCTGTTGTTACTTCCATTTCTTCTGTTATTGATGTTTTTTCACTGTTTGTTTTTTTTGTTTTGGCGGTAACAATTGGAACTGTTATAATTATAACAAGTACAATAATAGTAAATATGATGCACATCACTTTTCTTTTTTTCAAATATTTACATCTAGAATAATAAATCTTTTTTATTGTTGTATACAATTTATACGATACATACAATTTTTTTAGTTGAGTCGCATTCGACGTAACTGTTTCAGACTAAAATAATCAAAAAAGACAAATATTATATTTTATGCTTTTTCTTTTTCTCAATAAATTACATCATCATCAACTCCTACTCTGTTGTTGTTGTTCATTATTGATATCTTGTTGAAAGTTGAATACTTTTACAATCTAAAATTGACAAAAAGACTTTTTTCATTTATAGATTTCCAGTCATTAAGAATGTAATTACAAAGAAACTAAACTGTTTATTTGCATATTTTTTCTCAAAGAATCATTTGTGTTTCTCATTAATTGTTGAAATCTATATTTCAACTAATATCTAATATTCCTCACCAACTAATTTGGTGACATACAAAAAACAGACTTAGATATTGTTTTACTCACTTAGAAGTTTTTCATTCCAATTTCAACTAGAAAATTGTTAAAATAATAAAAAAAATATTTATCATGCTCTCTCTCTTTCTTAAATAATCAGTTCTCTTTTGACGTATATCATCATGTTAATGCAAAACATCATATATCAATAAAAAACAATCTGCTAACTTCCTTTTTCCATGTTGATTTTCAAAACAAAAACAACTCTTGTCAGATAGAGTTGTTATCTTTCATAAATATGAAATTGTTTGAGACAACATTTCCTAAAAGAGAAAAAAACTGATGTTAAAATGTTCTACTATACAAAGAGACTCTTCTAAATAAATTGAGAATGAGACAATAATATTTATGGTAAGAAATGGGTTTTAGTTTGATTTTATCATATGCGATAATATTTCGTAGAATGGATTAATGATTATAATATTCATTGATTTACTTGAAAATCGAAATAGAACATTCAAGAAAACAAAAACGATTAATATTTAATCTTTACTTAGTTATAGTCTACTAGATATGACTAGTTAATAAAGAAATCTATAATCATGATTTTAATTACAATCACCGCTGTGCGAAATAGGTAGATTCTTCGAATAATTACATTAAAATGTGACTGTCAGTGATTGTGGATATTATATTTATCTTTCAGTACTCTCCACACACTATGAAAACCTATTCATGTTCTTTTAATCACTTTTCTCATTGAAGAAACAGAATATGAGATTTGTTTCTTAATTTGTGATTGAACGTTTATATAGAGAGTGAATATAAAGGAAATAGCAGTTATATTAAGCGACAAGTCTTGTTCAATATCATCAAATCTTGAAATCCACTGTTTTCTCTCTGAATAAATATTAAACTGATAATATGATAGATAAATATATTGTTCTTATCCTAATGTTAATTTATTTTCGTTCTCATCTCTTCTAATACATTATCAAAATATTTTATACTCATCTCAGTATATTACTAAAGTATTTTATCGATAATAATGTGATAACTAACAACTTAATTATAGCTTACCTCTACAGACTTTGAAATGAATGAATGAAAAATAATAAAATATTTTGTTCAAATATATTCTTTTCTCTCAGGAAACTTTGCATTTCCGTCAAAAAAAAATGCTGATTTTCAATGTTGTTCGTACAGAAATAATTCTATTAATTGTTGTTTGAGCTAGTTGACGTCACATTCTATCTCGTAGAGTTTAATATTTACAATAGATATAACATTTTATTCAAAATTCATCTAAAAAAAAGAAAGTGATTTTACATAAAAACGATCATATACAATAATCATCAGAATCATTCACTCATTATTATCTTTATTTTAAATAAAACAAATACATGAAAATAAAGTAAAAGATATGATTTGGGAATCCATTTCTTGATATTGAATAATTTAAAGAGTTGATAATTCTACTAAATATAATCACAAAACTATGAAATAAATAAAACTGACAAGAATTTCATTTAATTTCTAATGATTAATATTGTTGAGAAAATGATCCGTTTTCATTTGCTATTAATATTTGTGTTCTACTGAATGAAATAAAAACAAGTTGTTTCTTTTCGGTTACATTCTCCAATAATTAATTTAAATGATAAAAGAAAATACTTTTATGTATTACTGAAAATTGAACATTAGAAAAACAAAAATCTTTTTTTTTAAATATTTGTAATAAAAACAATGAATCTATTTCCTTTTTCAAAACTGATATGAAATGTCAGGTTGTTTTTTTGTTGTAAATATAAAAAGTGTTCATGATATTGAAATTTTGTAGGAAGGATGTGAAAACAAAGTGTTTCAAACAAAATGAATGTTATTCTTGTTAAGCATACATAGACAGTCATGCCTTTATGAAGGAAATACAACGCTTCCTCAACAATAACATAGAACATCTTTTGAGAACAAAATGTTTTTTTTTAATTTTGTATTCAGTTGGAAGAAAAAATATGTCAACATTGTCTGTTATGAGAAATGTATTCCACAATTAATTTTATTCTTTTGTTTTGCACATTAAATTAATTATAAGAAAAGTTTAGTTGTTTATTTTCTGAATGTATCTACATCAAATACTATTTAACGATATGAATATCGTCGAACACATGAAGTTTATGAGAAATAAATATATAAACAAAAGAATTATAATTGCATAGAATAATGTTACATGCACATTCAACAAAATCATCATTTTATTATCTTTTGAAATTGTTCATCATAATGAATAATTATGATTAAATTAACAGAGTTGCAAGTGAAAATAACGGGTGTCCTGGAATAAATGACTCAGGGTGTGAAATGAGTAGATAGTTACTCACATCCACACTCACACCCTGTTTTTTATTATGTGAAAAACTGTGATCCTAATAGTACATCTGAGTAAAAAAAGAAATAATAAGAGAATCAAGTGACTAAAGTCAAGATGAACAAGAACGCATCTATTAGTATAAAAAACATGTTTAAAAATGAGAAGAAAAAAGAGAATTAGGAGATTATATTCGTTTTTCGGTTATTTTATTAAAAAGTTAATAAGTGTACAACATTAAATTATTAGTTCTTTATATATGGGTATCCATTATTATTGATGACTTTTAAAAAAATAACGAGCCATACGATGAAACCAATCCAGCTAGCTATACCACATAATGTAATTATAATATTGAATACTAATGCTAGAGTACTCATTGTTCGAGCTGTGCTAATATCATTCGATCTTTTGTTACTTCGACAGACAATTGAAAATATCAGAGGAAGAATACCACCCAAGCCCCAACCAATAAATAAATTGATTATAGACCATGGTAACCAATCACGAATTGTATAAATTTCTGGTGTTGGCATGAGTAGATTGACAGGTGGTGAATAGACTGGTGGAGATACAGTTTGAGGATATGTAGCCGTATAAGACATTTCGTGTGTATATCTGTTGAAAAGAAACTTTTGCTAGTTTAGATGAAACATTATATTATACCTGTATATATATATAGACAAAAACTGTTTTGTCGCTTACTCATATTCATCGACGTCAATCAATATTTAGTTTTAAACTCTATAATTATTAAAGATGAAGGCGAGTAATCACATTCCCACCTGTATTTGATAGTAGCAGATTATCATGACGTAGGAGAAAGTTTTTGTGACAGATAAACAGAACGAAAAGAAAGATAAAAGAATTGATAATATCATAAAATGAGTAATCTGTTATAAAATACCAATAGTGACATATAGTAAAAAACATGACAACCGTGTATTTCTTAATACCATATGAAAATTTTGAAAAAAAACTTGACATTATGACCTATCAGTATTTCAAGACTACATTTATATATGTATTTTTTCCTTCAATACATAACAATCGTATTTTAATAAACAGATATATTCGAAAATAAGATTAATCAAGCAATAAACTATATGATACAATAAGACATCACTCTAGAAACATACCAGTTGTTTGAAACTCCGAGTCTTTACTTATTACAATTGTAATTTTCATTAAGTTTTAATACATAAAGACGAACAAAGATCGATGAAAAGTTAATTTACAATTGATCGTATTATTTTTTAGTCTCATCAGTAGTCACTTATATCAATGAAAAAGAATTTTTTGAAATAGAGACTTGATAATAGACAAATACATTCAATTATTGAAAAAGCTTTAAATAAGATAAATACGTAGTTAAATCAAAAATATTAGTTTTGTATGATCAGTAATAAACTTAATATTTTATATGATTTTTCATTGGTTATATCTTCACTAAAATAGCAATAATATCAGCAAAGAATCTTATATTATTAGTAACACATTTCATACTATCCAATATCAAAGAAAACAATAAAGCTTAATAAACTGATTATAATAAAATGAAATTTGATTCATAAATAACACTCGAAGAACTATTAAAAACAATTATTCATCATATAGAACTGTAGAAGAAACTTGAGAAAGAATAAAATATGCATTGACATAAAATAAATACACCTTGTAATTGTTGGTGAAGTACTTGGGAAAGGATGTACTTTAATTATAACACAAAATCTTCTTCTTCATATCTATATTTACACTTTCAAGATATTCTTGTTTTCTTGTATTGACACTCTTTAATAAACTAGTCGATAAATACAAATATATCGCATTAAGTAGTCCGACAATACATATTAATAATACAAAGATTAATGACAAAGTACTTTATTTTGCTACCTTCGAACACCTTCTTATCTGTCGCAATTGTATGGCAACCATTCACTTTTATCCTTGAAGATTGTAAACACTTCTACTCTAATTAATATACAAATTACAAAGAAGAATTCAGTCATGAGCTCTGTCCTACGTGATAAACTATCTGATCAGTTTATTTTTGAGATTGTTATATCTACAATAAAAATACATTGCGCAACACTTTTTCAATATTTCTGTGACTCATACATGAAAAAGTGACCTCATAAAATAAGACACTAAAAAACTAAGAAAAAAAAATATATTTCTTTTTTTTGTTATATTCCTCGCGCATTTCTTCAGTAAAATGTATGTCGTGTGCCTAACAATGAATTTTTCTTCTAAAAACAAAATATACTTTCGGTACTACTTTTGGATAACCCTAGATATATAAACGTTATTGAATAAGTCAATAAATAGTGTGAAAAAATTACTCCGCTGTTTAATACATGAGCCAAGTGTAAGATTCGTCCTTTATGCTTTTAATATGGGTCTATTGACTTAATGTCTTGCGAAAGAATATTTTCTATTTTCAACATACAAGAAAATTGACTTGTATGCAAAAAACTCAGAATGATGAAATTTGTCTGCAACGATATGTGTCTTGCGCAATAATTTTACTATTTAAATAGATCCGAAAGATGTAAATTATTATTCTATATTCAAACAATACATTATGAGATACAGTGCAGCTTATTTACTTGCTGTTCTTGGTGGTAATCCATCGCCAAGTGTTGCTGATATTACCAATATTTTAGGTAGTGTTGGAATTGAATGTGATGAAAAACGCGCTCAAGAAGTTATCGATGCTTGTAAAGGTAGAAGCGTTGATGATATTATTGCAAGTGGTATGAAAAAAATTGATGATATTTCAATGATCGACACACAAACTACAGCTACTATCGATAATGAATCATTGACAACAACATCAACAGCTCCAATACCTATTGCTAAAAATTCCACTCCACTTGATTCTCCACTAGAAGGAAGTCCAGAAGATAACGAATTTGTAAGTTCAGATTTTATTGTATACTTTTTCTTTTCATTACTATATTTCTTGTTTATATTTAATAGATTGGCTTATTTGATTAATACAAGAACGTTCAATCTTATCGAAAATACAAAACATATAAATATTGTATTTTATTTTCAATTAATTCTATATCAATAAATAAGATGTGTTACAATCATGTCTACTTACACCTATTTGTTCATTTTTTTATTACGTATAACAACTATAACTAACAATATATCATAAAATGAATTATACTTCTCAGTTATTTATTTTAAATCGCTTAATAATATTCTATATAGATAGCTATTTCATTTTTTATCATGAGGGTGCGGATGTATTAAAACTATAAACATAAACTCACTCATAGTTTCTAGCATTCATTTCCTTTTACAATAGATCACTTATATTTAAACAATAGTCTAAAAAAATTTCTCTTTGCCGTTTCAATTCAGATATAACCAAAGCAGAAAAATTATCTCTTGTTTTATCTATATTTTATATTAGTTATTCTTTAAATGCTTTCAAAATGATCATTTTATACTAGACTAAACTTGTTCAAGTGTTACATATATTAATGGGAAAGAATTTTTTCAAATAAAAACTTGATAATACAAATACCTTCAGTTATGTATTATCAATCTATATAATTTATAGTGAATACACGTGATAGTATACAATGTGATTCATCTCATTAGGGTTTAATATATTACAAGAGATTAGATATTTTATCACTAAATTAATGTAACATCGTGACAACACAAATTAATAATGCAAAAATTGATCAAAAAGTATTTTATTTTGCTAGCTAAGAGTTTGTCAACAGAAAAAAAACATCTCCCTTAGATAAAAACAACTTCTTATCTATTTCAATTATATGGCAACCATTCACTTTTATCCTTAACGATTGTAAACACTTCTATTCTAATTAATATACAAACTGATCTCTATTTCAAACTCTTTTACAAAGAAGAATTCAGTCATGAGTCCTATCCTACGTGAGAAACTATCTGATCAGTTTATTCTTAAGATTGTTATATCTACCATAAAAATACATTGCGCAACACTTTTTCAATATTTTCGTGACTCATACATGAAAAAGTGGCCCCATAAAATAAAATAAAAATAAAACGCTAAAAAACTAGGAAAAAAAATATATTTCTTTTTTTTATTAAAAAAAATTCTTGATTTGTTGTACATGTGAATCTAGTCAGTATTATAAGTCATCGTCGTCGTCTGGTAGTGGTGCAGTAGCTATAGTTTCAAGTTCTTTTTCATATGCCAAAAGCATTTCTTTAGTAAAATGAATGTCAGGTGGCTAAAAATGAATTAACTTTGCTTAAAAAACATTTTCTATATATGACAAAAAGAAAACTTACTGCTATTGTTGGCATACAAACAAATTGAAGATTTTCTTGTCCACTTAATTTTTTTGCTAACCAAAGAAATGGTTTTTCAAAATTATAATTTGATCGAGCACTAATATCATAATATTGCATATTAGTTTTTCGATGAAATGTTATTGATTTAGCTTTCAGTTTTCGATCTTTAACATCGATCTTATTTCCACATAAAACAATTGGAATATTTTCACAAACACGAACTAAATCTTTATGCCAATTAGGAACATTTCGATAAGTTATACGTGATGTAAGATCAAACATAATAATACCACAATGTCCACCAATATAATATCCATCACGTAAGCCTATTATAAATATATAAAAAAAACAACTGATTATTGTGTCTACTTAATATGTGAATAACATACCACCGAATTTTTCTTGACCTGCTGTATCCCATACACTAAATATAATTTCTCCATAGTTGGTAGAGAAATTTAATGGATGAACATTAACACCAACAGTAGCTTCATATTTCTTTTCAAATTCACCTGTTAAATGTCGTTTAACAAATGTTGTTTTACCTTAAAATAACAGATATGAATTATGAGGTTTAGATATAAGAATAATAAAAAAACATACCAACACCACCATCACCCACTAAAACTAGTTTAAATTCTGGTATATTTCGTTGATTTGTTGCCATTGTTGTTTTTTGAAATAACAAATAGAAGTAAATATGAGATAAAAATATATGTAAGCACGCATATTTATACGCTTGAATAAGTTACGCAATACCACAGACGAATGACTCATGTGACGTGACTCATGTCTCAACGCATGACGCAATGAAAGTTATTCGAGTTTATCTTGCTGATGTTTGCTTTTGCATCTGTGCTGTCCTCTGAATAGTTGTGTTGGAGGCAGAATTTAATTCTGAATCAAATGGTGCACTTGCTGGATTCGGATAAAAATACTAGATGAAATGGTAACCTACCAAGTAATCTTCGATGATGGTGAGAGTTGTTGGAGTAACAGAACACTCACATTCACACTCTGACATATAATATTTCTTTACAAATCTTTTTTTAATAATTATTTTATCTCTATATTTATTTTTAGCAATGCATCGGAAGAACTTTTGATAAAGCATCAACATAAAGGGTTCCATTTCCCAACGAAGGAATAAGTGAACCACTAGTTTCACTGCATTCATTCCATGCATAGATGATAATTGTTTGTGCTTCAGCTGTTTGATTATAGGTACATGTAAAATTAATTCCATTTCGAATTAATGTTTGCAATTCTTCGACGGTTGGTTGGAAATAATGCTGCGGTCCCTCATCAACCCATGGAACAGGATTTTCAGCACGTGGTCGTGGATCCCAACCCGTAGGAACTATGGGCACCATTTTAGTTCCAATCTGATGAGCAGATTGCCACCATCTATAATACATAGAATTAATTTATAGGTTCTTTTTATGAGAAAAAAATTATTTACTGTTGAGCTGAATGAAGTAGTTCAACAAATGGAGTTCCCTATAGGTTATTCATTACAGTAAATTAGTCAAAATAAATAGGGAAAAGTTTGTTTTACTTCATTTGTTCCTCCAGGTAATGCATACGTGGAAATTGCATCGAATTCAAGCATCGAAGCATGTGATTGAACGGTTGCAACATCAAAATCCATAAGTACCATATATGGATTTTGTAATCCTATCGTAAAAGGAACAAGATTATATTGATATTCATATGTAAAAAAATTTATTATTCACCTTGACTTATAGCTAGTTGTCGAAATTTCTGAAATACTTGTCCACTTCCAGACCATCCACCACCACAAATATCAGCTTCAGCATTATCAAATTGAAATAAATACAATAGTGGACGACCTCCTAATACCGTTTGAAATTGAGGTTGTTTCATAAGATCAATATATTGCTGTTGAAAGGTTACATCACATGGTGAAGAACCTAATAGAATGAGAGTAAAATTCACCAAAGATTTATATGGACTTGAAAGATATAAATCTAATCCATAAGCAGGATTTCTTGGGCAATATTGATTTGATGTTTGTTTATAATATTGAGTACAATATGTATTATTAGTTGTACAATTTGATCCAAACGTACAATAAGTATCGAATGCCCAATAGTCTATACCTGCATGTTTAGCATAGAGAACTTCTTGATCCATTACATTTTGTATATCTCCATTGAAAGATATATTTGTCGGTGAATGAACTGATCCATAAAATGGTATACGAAAATGAAATTCTTCAGGAGTTAAAGCACGATGTAAATAATAAGAAATAGGATCGTATTGATTATTAAATAAATTCCAAGCATCCCAACGAATAACTCCAACTGTTGGTCGATGTTCTACATTAATTCCACTTAAAACTGGTACTGATATAAGTAAAATGATACAAATAAATACACTCGGTAATGACATCTTATTCTTTTATTTTTATTTTCTAACTTGAAAAAACACATACTTATATTCTTATCTATTGTTTATCGAGACAAAGTAAACTTGTTCTAGCACTTACTCCTATAAAGTTGTTTTTAAAATAAGCTTCAATAGGATCGTATAAAACATCAATGGTTTCAGTCATTCAACAGATAATATAATAAAATATCCAATAAAGCCCTAATTTACATAAAGTTACTACTTTTAAAAAAATATGATATACTTTTACGTTGGTGTAAAAACAAAAATGAATCATCGTTGTTGTTGTTTCATAAAAATGATGAAATTACATATATGCACATGTCTTATTTGACCATATTTTACAAGACGGTATGATGAATTGTATTGTGAATGCTCGAACAAATCGTTATTTACCAAAACAAATTTCTTCATCGACTGAAAATTATGAAACCGAACATTTTCATTATGATCATTTAACAAATTCAATTGATTGTAAACTTTTAATAAAAAATCCTTTTCAATCGTACTTTCAACAAGTTTATCCAACGATAATTAATGAACATGAATTAACAAATGATATGTTAGATGTTATTAAATCGTATACAGATAGTCTTTCTAATGAATGTTATATGAAAACAAATTTAAATTTACTTAGTGCAAATGTTAATGATATTGATTGGATATATGTTAATAAACTTCGTTCATTAATTCGTGGATTAAATCAATCTAATATTAAACATGTTTATTATCGTGGTTTAACTTTAAGTGAAAAAGAAATTGAATATTATATGCAACGAAAAAATGATTATTATTATACAAATTCATTTTTATCATTTACAATTGATCGTTTATTAATATATGGAGGTAATGCAATAATTATATTAAAAACAGATAATTCAAGTGAATTAGCAAAGAAAAATCTCGCTAATATATGGAAATGGAGTACATTAAGTGAAGAAAAAGAAGCTCTTTTAGTTGTTGGAACAAAATTAAAAATTTTGAGTGTACATTACTTTGGTTATAAATGGGAAATTGAAGTTGAACTAGCTGATGATAATGAATAACATAAAAAATTTTTTTCTCAAATATATTTTATAACATTTACCGATATTGAAGATTAGTCAAATATGAGAAATTTTGAATTCAGCTTTAAATTCATTGAAAACAACTATTATAGACTAATGGAAATTCGTTATACAATAGTATTTGATTATATAATGTTAGCATATGTTTTTCAATTATGGCTATGAGAATTTGTCACTGAAAAGTCTGATTTTGATCATAGATCATAGTAGTAGAACGTGTAGTAGGTGAATTATTTATTGATTAATGCATTAAAAATAAGTTAGATACGGCATATATATATATTTATAGAAACTAATGTACATTGTTATTGGAAATTATTAAAAGAACATAAAATTTCGATATTTTTTTTTACATATTAAGTTCAAGTAAATAAGTTTATCTAATATTTCAAACAGCTTTCATTGTCTTTGAACCATCCGATATTGTTGATTCTTCTAATTCAGTATCTTTTACTGTTTCATTATCATAACCATCGTCTTTGTTGTTATTGTTGTTACTATTAATTTCATCAATATTTCGTTTTTCAGGTCCAAGGAAAATTATAATAAATAAATATATATATACACAGGATAAGAAGATAATTATTACTTTTCCATAATCATATTGTTCTTCATTATTTGAATTAGGAGTTAATGATTTTTTAGGAAATTGTTGTCCAGCTTTAGCTTCAATAGTCGATGAAGCTGAAGAAATAAGATTACCAAGTTGATAAGCAGTACCAACAACAAATGAACGAAATTGTCCTGGTGAAAGTTCCATAAGATGTATAGGTACAACACCCCAAGCACCTTGTACACACATTTGTTGAAAAAAAGCACCAGCCATTATAGTCTTATCACGTGGAAGTAGATATGCTGGAATAAGTAAACCACCAATAATAAGAACCACAAGTATTGATAAACGTCGACCAAAGAAACTTGAAAAATAACCAATTGTCATTCCACCAATTATAGCACCAATATTAGCAACAATAGTTGTTATAGTTACAAGACTATGAGAGAATTGAAGTGTAGAAGAAAGAAAAGTTGGATATAAATCTTGACTACCATGTGATAAAAAATTAAAGCCTGCCATCATAAGTACTAAATAAATAAGCATAGGCCAATGATCAACAAGTGCAGGACGAACTGTACGTAAAAATAAACGCATCGACGATGGTGGTTTAATTGTAGGATCTAAAATATTATAATCATATTAATACGAAACGATGATAAAAAGAATAATTTTATTTACCTGTACAAATATTAGCATTAGCAATAGCCTCACGTTCTTTTTTAACATTTAAAAATGCATCAGTTTCTGGTAAAAATACACGCCAAAGTGCTACCAGTAATGGAGGACAACCACCAAACCAGAAAAGTGCTCGCCATCCATAACGTTGATGATCTGTTATTGCTACATTAAAAGCTGCTGCTAATAGATAACCACATGCATAACCTTGCTGTAATAAACCTGAAAGGAGACCACGAGCAGCAATTGGTGCATCTTCAAGTGCTGTAGCTGCACAATTACCATATATACCACCCATAGCAATACCAAAAACAGCACGAAGACCTATAAATTGTCCATAAGTTCTACAAAAACCAGTACCAATTTCAATCAATGCATATAAAACAATATTGACAATAAATGGCCATTTTCGACCAAAACGATCACCAGCAATTCCAAATATAATTGCACCAATAGCTCGAAGCATTAATGTTATCGTAATACCCCAAGTAATATCTGTTGTTGTTCTATTATAACTTTTACCAATTGGAATTATATTAAGTGTAACAGCAAAAAAATCGAATGCATCAAATGTCCAAGCAAGAAATCCAACAAGAAATAAAGCAGCTTGTCGACGATTAAGCATACGTAATAATTTAATTGGATTTTCTGGTACAATTAATGGTGGTTTAAGTGTTGTAAAACGAGTTAGTAAATATTTCGCAACACGCATGGTTATAACTAATACTAAAAAAAATACTTATAATGTGTTGTAAGAAGAAAGGATGTTAAATTTCTATTTTCGTTCTCTTTTATTTATTAAATAAAATGTATCTCTTCAGACATGACTCTTAAGTTATTTATTCTTTTCTCTCTATGACCTGTCTATATATGGGGATAATGAACGAGATGATATCATAGCTTTTATATATTGGTCGTTTTCTATTTTTACTTTATATTCGTTTTCAACATATGAAAAGTCATCAATGAATACGCCTATATAATTGTTTATATAGATGAAATCAAGGTGTAATGACCTGAGGATATTTCATAGCTATTGAAGGACATAAGAGACATTTTGAGTGTCTACGAGTGTGTCTTGATTTCTTTTTCATGCTTCATCTAGTCGAGATAAATACATTCTTGCGTTATGTCGATTATAACTTGAGACTATTATACAACATTAATATATTGCGTCGTGTGATTTTTCATACCAAAAAAAAAAGGAAGAGCGAACTAAGATTAATCATAGACTGTCATATAGAAAATAAACAACCATATCGCTTTTTACATGCTTCACTTGTCACTTTTGAAAGAATATAACTATATTTCTAACTGGTATAAATCTGTGGTTTATTATATCTGAAATTTTTTGATTTTCACCGACAACTACTTCCACAAGTTATAAATCAATTGTTGTTAAATTTTCGATATTATAAAATTGTATCTAAGATTATTTAATATTAATTTTCAAGATATTTCGCTGAATGTTATGCTCTTGTTTTTCATATGAATTTATCCTTGATAAGTATAAATGTCGTATTTATATCTGTTTACGTGTTTTTAACGATAATATGAATGTAGAGTAATAAAAAAGAATAATATTCCTTGAATTAATTATAATCGAATCAATATTATTTCTGTCTGAAATGCTCATACGAAATAAGTTAGGAGAGAATACATACGTATATTATTGCTGTTATTTTGATAGAAAAAATAGATATTTTTGATCGATCTTCACTTGATGTCAAAATGCGAACGTCTATTTTCGTTAATGTATAAAAATACTCAGAAACAAAAGGACATTTGTACTGTATGACTTACAGTACTTTTATATATCGATATATTTGCGCATGAATCATCTATTTTAAAATGTAACAACATGAACAAATAATTCTTATATTCGTTTAACATCAATTTTTACATTATTTGTCAATGGTGTATGAGTATCGTTGATATACAATAATTGACCGTTTGAATTCGTGATTCTTGCTTGCATTGTAAGACCACTAAAACCTCGCCCTGCTCGTGATTTATCATAATAGAATTGAAATCGAATAGGAAAATATTGTTGAGATTGTAATGGTATTTTTTTACGTCCTAATAAAATACTTGCCACATCCATTCGTGAAGCATCAACAATCGAAACTTCTAGTATTTCATCTCCATTAAATATATCATAAGCATTTGTTGAAGATAAAACCTTACCACGAACTATCTCCCATTGAGGATTCATACCTCTATGATTATTTGATACATAATATTAAATTATAAAAATAAATTCAATCAATCCCTCTTATCGAAAAGAAGAGAGTGACGAACTGTAAAAAAAGAAATATATTTATCGTGTACGTAGAATATTTTTGAAAAAAACCATGATTTATATTTTATTTTGTGTAGGCAGCGTTAAATATGTTCTTGATTAGTTATTATCATGCTTGACAATCACATTTCTAATTCAAAATAAAAGGTTTAATTATCGTAAATATTCTTTTTTTTATGAATTTCATTACTTCGACATATCGAACAAAGTTTTATTAACAAAAATATACATTTTTAACAAAAAATCTACATAATAACTTTGACTACTTGATGAGTCTCGTATTTATCGTGATAATTTCCCCAAAATTTAATTGCTGAATGTGTACCCAACATAACTATAAATAAAATTCCAACAAAGAATCCTATTGCACCTGCACCATTCAATGGTTGTTTTAAAGTATGTTGTAATAAATAAAATCCAACAATTAATATAATTAAACTCATAGTTAATAAAATTACATTGAGTAAATGAAGCCAAATACGATATCGATTAATAAACGATTTATTTGAACAAAATTCAACAGATGATAATGTTATAGCTGATATAGCAATAAGAACAATACCAGTTATAAGTAGACCTGTTTCCATTCTTGCATGATCCGATGTAAAATGTTCAGGAAAATTATCTACTTTTGTAATACGTGATGAAAAGATTGGACCAACATGTAAATATTGGTGTTCGGTTGGAGATGTATTAAATTGAGTAAAAATATTTTTAAAACATATTTCCGAATCATTAACATCGATTGAACGCCAATGTGATGAAATAAGACAAAGAGTTAGCTCAAGAGCGAGCAAGACGAGTGAAGTAATTGTACCCTTCATAGATATGAATATAGCAAGAATGAAATGAATATTTCTTATTTCTGTCAGTCGGTCATGTATATATATATATATAACAAACAATAACCGTCCGTTTGGTCATTCATGAATGATATAAAAAGAAATATTTCTCTTCATTCTCTTTCGCGCAATCGTGTCAGACGTGATAAAATTAATGTCTGGAAGAAAAAAACTGATTGAGCATTTCATCCCTAAATATTTGAGTTTTGTGTTATACTGAATAGAATCATTTAGCTAATAAAATATAAAAGATTCATCTATATATAATGATTTCGAATAATTTTAATACAATAAATAAAAACCATTTGAAATGGTACTGCTCTTTTGTATATAAAAGATCAAATGTAAAGATAGACGTTATTATATCACTACTTTTTGTTGATTAATTTTGTTTTCTCTGGCATGTTTTTATTCAAATTTCTACACAATAATTCACTACAAAACAAAACGAACGATAAAAAAAGGGAGATTCACTGTCACACATATAAAAAAAGGGACAAGCTGAGATATTATATAATATTTCAAATCCGTTTAAACAAAAACAAAAATGTCTATCAACAAGCAAACGAAATACATTCACACTTGTCTAATCTAATTGTAAAATGAAATACAACACAAAAATGTGTATGATTCTTATAGTTGTAAATAATATAGAAAAAAACAAATATACGTTCATTACACGATTTAGTAAAAAAAAGCATTTAATAATAAGCTTATTTTCTTTTTGTAAAATATTCAATTTTAATAACCTTGATAGAAAATGACAGCAAGAATGAGAATAATAACTACGATTACTGTTATAAAAACATAAATGCTTAAAAGAGCTGGTTTCCATGCTTCTCCCTAGAATAAAATAGAAATAAAACAGATATTAATTTTTTTAGAATAAAATAACATACGGGTACACGTTCTCGTCGTGCACGATGATCTGGATGTTTCTCTGAATAATAATCAGCATCTTCAAAACCTAAAAAAATACATGTTTACATATGATTTCGATTTACGAAAACTTACGTTCATAATCTTGTCTTCCACAACAACAAGCATGAATTTCGAAAATAAGTTGAACAATAAAATGAAATATACACCAACCAAATAAAAGCCATGAACACCATGTCCATAAGTCTAATCGACGATTATCCATGCCCAAAAAGATAACCGGAACAGCAAGACAATGAGCTAAAGAAACAACTAACCAATGTATCCAATACCAACAACAGAAACGTTTTGTTCGAGGTACTGGTCGTAAAATACCAATAAGTGGCTAAAATAAATAATTCATAAAAATCAAAATTTTTTCTAATAATTATTTCAAATCTACATACAGCAAGAAAAGCACAGACAAGTACAATAACACCGAGAATTGAATGCCACATATGATGTGTTCCATATGTCCATTTCCAATTAAGTTCAAGTAGAATAGCAAAAAATGCAAGCCATGTTAAAATAGCAACTGTGACCATAATTGGTTGAAAAACCTAAGCAAAAATTTTTTTTCTATCATTATTATAATTCAATAGGATAATTACATTAAAAAATGAAAATCGTCTTCGTCGTTGTAATTTCTCTCCTGTTACAACACCATTACTATCAACAACTACACGACGTTCATATTCTGGCCAAATTAAATCAAAATATCGAGCAACCATAACACCTGCTGATGCAAGTAAAATCCATGCAATGATATTTAAAATAGCTAGAATAGAAAGAATAGAACTTGTTTTTTTTATAAAAGAATTCAAAAAAATTACCATGAAGTTTTGCAAGAAAAGCACCATCTCTTGGATGTGATTTTGGCCAAATACCACGTTCAAAATTAATCGGATGATTATTTACAATTGGAATATCTTGAGCAGGAATACGCATACCTACAAATAATTTTTATCTCATGTCTTAAAAGTTCTATTCATTCATAAAATAATACCTTGCGATGTTAATAAATCTTCATTGGTATAAATTGGATACATATAATGTGGTTCTTTTAAATTAACAAATTTATTATTATCAACTCCATCAGGATTTTTTCCATCATTTTCTAATACTTCTGGTGTATGAGGTGATAATTTTCGGTCAAATTTACAGACAATATGAGAACCATTAGAATAACCATCTGTATCTTGTAGACCATATAATGGTCGATCACGTAATATATTTTGTGGTGTTTGAACACCAACAAACATATTACGTACATAAACATGATTTTTAGCATCCCGTGTACATAATACAACTTGATCATCACCCTAAAAATATTTGTTTTTCTCTCTTAATGAAATATAATTCTTATTATTTTACTCGTTTTTCATCATTGGAAAATCCAACACCAACGAAACCATGTGCTCTTGCAACAATATGAAATCTAGCTGTATTTTCATCGATGACTTGCCATGAAAGTGCATATTCACATGATGAATTATTATTACAATATTGTGGAACAACTAAACAACCTTGTGATTCACCACAAAAATCAATATTAACTGATTGATAATTTGAAGGAATAAGTCCAGATGCTACACGCTTTAATAGAGAACAAAAAGAATATTTATTCATATAATAAAATCATTTTCAATTTACTTTTTTTAATGGAGCAGATTTTACTCGATAGATTTGTTTATTTGAAACAATATCTGCTCTGAAAAATACAAATAAAATAAAATAACTACAAGACAAGAAATAAAAGAAAACTTACCGAAATGTAATTTCATCAAGATTTGGATCAAGACTAAGAGCTCGCCATGCCAATGGAATTTGTCGATAACTATGACCTTCAATCTTATCGACGTAAATAACCTAAATTTAAATTTTTTGTTTCAAAGAACGTTTTTTGTTATTTAATATACATACACTAGCTCCATTTGGACATGTATGATGTTTTAATGATATTTTTCCTGTTTGTCGATCATCAAATCGACCAACAACGTTATTATCAGCATCAAATGCACGTAATACAAATTCACCAATACCATAATTTTGACGTTTTTGTTTAATTGCCACTAGAAATAGAAAATTTATTTCAATAAAAGTTAATCAAAATATCTTCTTACATAATACTGTATCATCTGGTAGAAATTTGGTTTCATAAAGATCTATTTCGAATTCATCATTACCATTAATTGATGGTAATCCAGGAACTTCAACTTCTGGTGTACATAATGATTCAAATGCAATTTGACTATGAATATTATTAATTAATATTAATATGAATATAATAGATAGTAAATAATGATGCATAATTACTATCTAGAAAATAGAAATACACACATAGTGAATGTATCGAGTATAGGAAAAAAATAATGCTTAGAAAGAGAGAGAGAAAAATAGCAAATGGTGTCACTATCGCTAACAACTTATCAATACGTCTAGAAAGAACCGTTCGTTGTGTCTTTCAGGGTCTTTTTTTTTTGCTGCTGCTGCTGCTTCTTCTCTCGTCGTTCGATGCGAACACAAATTCTCACTATTACCACAGAGCTTAATGCGTGTGCCTATGTTATACACACACACACATATAGAGTTTTTTCCTTTTTTTTGGGTGCCATTGCCTTGTGTGCATGGAGTGAAGAAAAGAAAGAGAAAAAAAAGAATAAGAAAAAAAAGAGCAAGAGAACAGTCAACCGACAACTCGTCTGAATAACAATCAAGTAGTTTTTTTTCTTCTCTTTTCTCTCCTCTTAAACAGGAATTTACATAGTATGAGTAACCGTTAGTATTATTGTTGTGCTCTATGCTTATGTACAGTGATTTATAGATGGATGGAAGGAGCGACTGCTCAATCTATATATATATATTCCTGTATCCTGTCTACTATATATGGGTTATTCTTAGAATAACATGAAAAAGAAAAAGAGAAGTATTTATTTATGAATCCCGATATACAATCAATGATTCTTGCGTAAAAAAACGAGAAATCAGATACCTCAGCATGACATTAAAGGTGACAAGTGTCAATTACACGGAAAGTTATACTGTATATAGAAAAGAATCTTCAGTGAGATATTCTCTTGTCTCCATATGTTCGATATTATTGTATAGAAACGAAATATTAATGAATATAAATATATATATGCTTGTAAAAAGATTATTCATAGATGTGTCGTATGATTTAATATTCAATTCTTCTATACTTGTCCTTTGAATAAATAAAAATCGAAGGTTAGAACTGACGATGCAAACGTAATTGTCAAAATATTACGGCATATTTGATAAAAAAAAATGTAGAATACAAACTACTTTGAACTTTATGTTGATTTAAAAGGACAAAATTGTCTACACTTGATAATTGATTTATTAATAGAAAAACAACTCTTCTAATATCTTCCTCGTATAGTTCTATTTAGATTCAAAGTAATATCTATGTTAATAGCTCGCTATTCTTTCAAGTTCACATTTGTTTTAAACAAAAAAAAAGGTATTCAAGCTGATCCCGTATATATTCCGTAGGGAAGAAACAAGTGTTGTCATATTGGTAATTACTTTTACATCATAGGTTAGATTGAAATTGTAACATATGTTAACAAGTAATGAAGTACATACACGATGATTTTTCTTAGATGATGTTGCAACGAATGAAAAAAAGATTCTTAACTGATATTAAATGAACACGAAAAAAAGAAAAATGAACTGTCAATAATAAAAATGAATATAAATATAGACAGTAGTTCTTTTTATTGTATCGATGTCAAATAAATATTTTTTGACAATATGTTTTCATGTCAAATAAGAGGAAAAAAAGAAGATATGTCTTTAACCAATCATTGGCAACTCATCATAGAGGTTCCTTTAAATATATTTCATTGGTAATGCCATGTTCATTCCTTCTAAGAAAACAGTCATCTTCTTCTCTTATAATATGCAAGTAACGTTACTATATTTATATATCATCAATATTCTCTCAACTAGATAATTAGAATATATAATGTATCAGTATGATAAATTATAAATCTCAATGTTTCAACTGCTTTTATCAAGAATTTTATAACCATTAATATATTATATCACTTTTTATAAAAAAAACCTGACTGCCGTAATAGATCACCATGAAGATAAATAATACATATAAAATAGAGTGTAGAAATTATGTTTGATAATGATCTATGATAATATTCAATTATTAGAGAAAGTTATATAATACTGATTCTTGAAAATAATTCAAATGTATTAGGATTTATATTTTTACCGAACTTCGTAATCGATATCGATTATGTAACTGTAAAGTAGTGATTAAAATTCATTTTGTAAACCGAACAATAGAACATTATTTTGAAATAAAAAATAAATGTAAGATGTTACTGATAAAATTTGATATAATTGCAATTTATAAAGTTATGTAATAATTAATTCTCATGAGAAATATATTTTAATTAAATATTATGAATCATTATAAACAATTTTTTAAAGTAAGGTTGTTGTTAGAAACAACTCAAACTTGATTTTACTATTTTAAAGTGAATATGTCACTTGCTAGAACAAAAAAGTTACTTACTTTCTTTTAAAATATATTTAATCAGTTACTACAGAGACCATGCAATAGCAGAAGAAAACAAAACTGTCATGTCTGAACGATGCTATAGCAATTATGATATTATACTAGAAACATTAAAGTTATTAAAATCGTTTTGAACATCGTAATAATGATTTGTAATTGAAGTTTTTTATGAAAAATGAATAAAGAACTTTGTGTCATTATTATTATTCATCATCGTTTATTATTTTTTATGAGCATATTACAAAAAATGATGTTTCATTATTTTGTCTCAACTGATGTTATTTATTTTTTTTTTCATATACAAAACATTGTACATAAAAATAAGAAGAGACAAATGATCATACAGTAAAAAGAAAACTAGAATGAGAGATTCACATGATGTTATATTAGAATAAAAAAATCTTTTTATAGTCGATGATGATAAAAAAAAAAGTGTTTTTATTTTTAATCGCTGATTTAGGCACCTTCTTGTTCGCCTTCTTCTTCACCACCTTCACCTTCTTCTGCAAAAATAAATAAAATAGAATTATAAGTAAATTCCGAAATATATATATATGTATAAAGAAACGAACCTTCAGCTGTAGCATCTTGGTATTGTTGATATTCACTGACGAGATCGTTCATGTTTGATTCAGCTTCAGTAAATTCCTAAAAGTTAAACATATAGAATAACTTCATTATAAAATAAAATGTAAAACTAACCATTTCGTCCATGCCTTCACCAGTATACCAATGAAGAAAAGCTTTACGACGGAACATAGCTGTGAATTGTTCCGAGACACGTTTAAAGAGTTCCTGAATGGCTGTGCTATTACCTAGAGAGAGAGAGAAAAAACAATCAAATTATGATACTGTTGTATTTGATTAAAACTAAATTTTACCAATGAATGTAGCTGACATTTTAAGACCACGTGGTGGAATATCACAGACAGCTGTTTTAACGTTGTTTGGAATCCATTCGACGAAGTAGGATGAATTTTTATTTTGAACATTGAGCATTTGTTCATCGACTTCTTTCATTGACATACGACCTCGGAAGATAGCAGCAACAGTAAGATATCGGCCATGTCGTGGATCACAAGCAGCCATCATGTTTTTAGCATCGAACATTTGTTGTGTAAGTTCTGGTACTGTTAAAGCACGGTATTGTTGTGAACCACGTGATGTAAGTGGTGCAAAGCCTGGCATGAAAAAGTGAAGACGTGGAAATGGAACCATATTGACAGCTAATTTACGTAAATCAGCGTTAAGTTGACCTATAAAAATAATAATTCAAATTATAAATTGAAAAATTTGTCGATTTTATTTTATCATACCAGGAAATCGAAGGCAAGTTGTAACACCAGACATTGTTGCAGATACGAGATGGTTAAGATCTCCGTATGTTGGTGTTGTAAGTTTTAATGTACGAAAGCAAATATCATATAAAGCTTCATTATCAATACAGTATGTTTCATCTGTATTTTCAACCAATTGATGAACTGAGAGTGTTGCATTGTATGGTTCTACGACTGTATCAGAAACTTTTGGTGATGGGACAACACTGAATGTGTTCATGATACCTTTAGAAAAAATTGATAATTCTCGAAATTATAGATATATATAAATCGATTATAAAACTTACGATCTGGATATTCTTCACGAATTTTTGAGATAAGTAAAGTACCCATACCGGATCCAGTACCACCACCCAATGAATGTGTCAATTGAAAGCCTTGAAGACAATCGCAAGATTCAGCTTCTTTACGTACGACATCCAAAACTGAATCAACAAGTTCGGCACCTTCGGTATAGTGACCTTTAGCCCAGTTGTTACCAGCACCAGATTGACCGAAAACAAAGTTATCAGGTCGAAAAAGTTGACCAAATGGACCTGATCGTACTGAATCCATGGTACCTGGTTCCAAATCAACAAGTACAGCACGTGGAACATATTTACCACCTAAAGTTCATAGTGTAATTTTATCATTTTAAAACAATAAAATTTTCAATTAATTTACCAGCAGCTTCATTATAATAAACATTTATACGTTCCAATTGAAGATCGGAATCACCATGGTATGTACCAGTTGGATCAATACCATGTTCATCTGAGATAACTTCCCAAAACTAGACAAACAAATCAAAAGAAAACATTTGTTAGAAATAAGATCAAATCAATTTTTTTTTGATTTATTCATACTTTGGCACCAATTTGGTTACCACATTGACCAGCTTGCACTAGAAAACAATATTATATTGATTAATATCTTCTAATATGTCTTTTTTTCTTTTTACTAAGACTCACTATGTACGATTTCACGCATTTTTATTAGTTGTTGCTTCGACGACGAGTGAAAGTGATGTTGAAAAAAAACGATAGACAATCGGCAGACATACACAGGTTTATATAGGGGACAATATTTCTCTCATTTTTTTTTTCTTCTCTCCCTCTCTATTTTACATACACACATTCACTTTTGATGTTGCTGGCAACCAGCGAACAGCAATGTTTCTAGGTAACTTATTCTTTTACTATTTCTTTTACGTCCGTTGTTGAGTAATGAACAAAGAATACAACCATATCATTTGTTTGTTTCGTTGCTATGAAGCAACAAAGTAATAGAAAGAAAAAAGAAGGAATCACACGAAATGTAACGATTGCAATTCGAAGCAAAATGGATCTTCATGACAACGTATACATAAGAGAACGCTTTTTTTTCTTTTTGGTTTGCTTCGTCTGTTACTGTGTTTGTTCTTTCTTTTTAGCTATCCATTAAAATTTTGTGTGCCAAGTAACACACCAAAAAAAAGAAGAAGAAAAAAAAAAGATTGTTGATAAGGTGTCTATACTTCAAAGTATTGTCTACATCGTAGTTACTGATGAAACAAAAAAAAAAAGAAACAATAGTTTTGTTTGAAGACTTTTAATATTCTAGAATGTAACGATAAAAACATTCAATGGAGAAATCTAATTGAAGATATGATATTTTAAAAGTAAAATCTATATTATTCTTTCGTTTAGCAAGTATTATTTTTTCAAATGTTTATTTGGAACGATGTCATAGAATTTTTAATGCCTGGAAATCGAATACATGATGGAATTTATTAGCAATATAACTGACAGAAAGAGCAAATTTCTCTAGTAATTATAGTAGTTTACATTAGATTCTGATGGCTAAATGTTGTTTCGTTAATTATTGTCTATGAAAGAGAAATCATAAAATATATGATATTTTCTTATTTTTAAGTCACTATGTCCGAAATATTAATTGCATTTGTCATTGTGTTTGATGAAGAGAAGGATAGTTTGTGGTTTTCTCTTTCCAATCTTAATACTTATTAATAATCAATTCCACAAAATGACACTGAAGTGATAAATATTGCCAAATGTACAGTATGGTATGAATAGTTACTTGTAATAAACAAAAGGAAAATGTCTAAGGTTTTTAGCAATTAGAAGATGCGACATATTTATATATGAGATAAGAACTCAACTCCAATAGTAAGGATAATTGTGTTGATGTCTGAGAAATTATAGAATTAATCTTGAAACTCTTGTAAGTATTAATTATTTAAAAGATTATAATTTATGAATAAATCATATAAATAAACACCTGCTATTTCCACTCGGATGATATTTATAAGCTTTTGATATTTCTTTTTCTATCTCAGTACTCATCAAGAGCAATTGCTTTATGTCAGACGAAGGCACAGGAGGGAATGTTTATGGTGTTGATGAATAATGGCAGATACAGATAATACAAGGAAAAAGAGAAAGTGTGTGTGTATATATGTATTTGTATGTATTTAGTAAACGTAAGATGGGAGAAAAAAAAGAAGAACAGAAGTAAACATTAACCAAAATCAATAGACGAAGAAATGTTACATTTTAGGATTATAATTACATATGGATAGTATACAAAGATTATCTATTATTACTCATGGTGCTGCTAGTAGTCATACAATAGTAAATAATAATAATAATATTCAAACGTTAGCTCATGATAAAACACATGATATAAAAAGTGGACATTTACAAAAACATAATCATGTTCGTGTTTATTATTTTTATTAAGAAAATAAAATATTTTCTTCTTCTAGTTAACTACATTTCAATCTCTACCAGATTCAATAATTCTTCTAATATTTTCTTATTTAACTCCACCTGATCTTATTCGTTGTTCGCGTGTATGTCGTCGTTGGTATATATTTGTTACACATAATCAACAATTATGGCGACGTCTTTTTCTACGTCCTGAATGTATGAATGGTCATATTGGTGCAATTCATGTTCGACATATTGAATCATTTATTCATTTACTTGGTACTCGTTGTGCATCATCTCTTCTCTATATTGATTTACCTGTTGAATTAATAACAATTGAAATTCTACGTGAATTAGCTCTTCGTTGTCCAAATTTAGAATATTTAACACTTGATTTTTCAACCGCAATGCAATTACATGATTTTAGTGATTTAAATGAATTTCCATATAATCTTAAACGTTTATGTATATGTTTATCAGAAGTTATTTTTCTTGAATCTTTTATGCGTCGAATTTATGGATATCTTTCATCATTACATACTATACATATTATTGGTACGATGGAAAAACCTTGTATATCACCACAAGAAGATGCAGATAATTATGAAACAATAAATATAAGTAAAATAAAAGCAAATGCACCAAATTTACGTGTTATTAATTTATATGGTATAAATTTTGTTGATGATAGTCATATTGAAGTTATTGCATCTGGTTGTATACATCTACAATGTCTTGCATTAAATTATTGTATAAAAATATGTGGAACTAGTTTTAAAAATTTAATGACTCGTTGTGGAAAATTACAATGTTTGCTATTACAAAATACGGGTGAGATTGAAAAATGAAATTTGATAAGCATAACAAAAAAATATCGAGTCTTCAACACTTCTAACTGTGCTATATGATTGATAGATTAATCATATAGTAACTCGATGAATGATATTTATTGCAAGAATCTTACGTATAGTATCATCTTATCCAAAAAAATCCTTGAAGCATAGAAAACAAAATACGTAAACTATTCTTGTATTTTGCTAATCTAATTTCTTTTTCATAAGGTCAATCATTATCGATGATATTTCATATTAACTTTGAGTTATACATACACTTCTGAAACAGATTTTAAAGAACTGTATGATTAATAATTGTAGGTATTCAAGATGGACCTATGCTTGCTGTGGATTGGTCAACAACTCAACTTTCAGAATTAGATTTGTCATCAACTGAGCTAAGTGAAAAAGCTCTACTTGAATTTTTTCGTATTATACCAAAACTTACATATTTAGCAGTTCCTTTTTGTGATGGTTTTACCGATAAAGTAATACACTATATTATTTATGATTAAATATTCGATAGTTTTCGTATTTTAGGTATTAAATTTATTAATTGATCTTGGTAAACTTAATGGATGTCGAGCTTTGGATTTAAGTAATACAGTAAATTTAAATATCGAAACAATGTATCGTCTATTATTATCATCACCTGATATTACTCAACGACTTGAAGCATTAAGTTATACAGGTCATGCATGTATTACAGAACAATTTTGGATTGATGCTATTCGATTTCTTCATAAAATTAAGTAATGAAAAATTTTGAATAACAAGAAAAAAGTCTTCTTTCTTTTTTTTCTTTACTAGAATATTGATTATGGGTACAGCACACAGTTGGTTTCGACAAATATCACGTCGTATTCATATCGATCAGATATTAGATGCATGTGCAATTCATTGTCCTAATTTAAGACGTCTTGAAATTCAATGGGATCCTGAAACAGTTGGATTTAGTAGTAATTCATCGAAATTTATTGATCATTTGAGGTAGTTACTCATTGTTATTATTCTTAAAACTATTTTTTGAAAAAATGAATATTTTTTTTTAGAATACGATGTACAAATTTATTATCATTTGTTCTTTCTGATGGACCTTATTATGAAGGTACAAAAGCAAATTTCGAACGAGCTGAACGAAGTAGTGTTGTACGAACAACAACAATGTATCAAACAAGTATTATTAGTACACTCAGTTTTTATAATGAATTAAGATTTAATTAAAAGATGAAATAATTTGCTTAAATAAAATCTTATGCATAATAAAAACAAGAGTAAAATTTGAAGTAAATAAAAGAAACACATATTGTTCACTTTTTATTTCATGTAATTACACAGCCATATAAATATTGTAATAGCCACATATTTACCAATTGATGATTGTTTAAATATTTTAATTATTAATGAATTACTGGATTCTATGCATAATTTAGAATATTTTTGATTCAATATTATTAAATCAGTTTTAATTAGAGATAATTAACCACGCAAAATGTCAATAAATCCTAGTCTAGTTTGTCTGATTATTCAAATTTAAAGATAATTTAGACTTATTTGAATTGAATCAAAGATAATGATTGTTTTGGTAAAATACCTGATATTCATTTTGTTGGTAGATGAAAAATATAATCGAACGATATTTATCTCAACTTTATACGTTTCAAATATGTCAGCGTATTTATTGACAAATATAATCAAGATCTAATCATCTGCCGTATTACATTTCATTATACCAGGAACAACCCCAATCTCTTCCTATGAAAATATCTATTTGCTATATAGAAAATCTATCAACTAAAAGTTTAACAAAAGAGAAGAAGTACAAATATTTCAAGTTTATTAAAATAAATTTTTCATAAATAACTTTTGAAGTAAACGATAAAACATTATTCTGGAATGTATGATTTGTGTTCCTAATTGATCATAACAAGTTGTAACTGTTAGTCACTCGATGATGCCGACGGTCTCTCTTTTTTTGTTCTGTCTAAACTTATAGTTGTTTGTCTTTGAATATCATAAGTGGCGATATTGTATTCGTCTTGCATAAACAGGAAGATAAAGAATATATATTCAAGAGCAAATAGTTACCTTTGAGAATTTTGCCCATATGTCTAAGACGTTGTTCGTCTATTGGCATGCCTGTTTTGTCGTGAATTTTGTGCTTAACCTCTATAATTGTATCTGATGGTTTTACCTAAGAATTTTTTCCAGTACAATAATCATAAATAGTGGTATAAGAAATATTTTACCGCCAAAAGTATTTGCTCATCAGTCGGTCCCTATAAATAAACATATCGTAGAAGAAGAAAAAAAATCGATGATCATAATTAATTCGAAAAATATATTAGTTACTTTAACAAAGATTTGAAAAGCAATTCCGTTTTGAAGTGCTTCAAGTTCATTTTGTTGTTTCAAAGATGTTGCTTTTGGGATACTTTTCACAGGATGCTGCGGAGACCTTAAAAAAATAAAGATTTAATTCCAGTACAAGATTTTGACTTAAAAACTAGATTGCACAAATAGAAGCTAAAATATGAATATGATTTTCTTAAATATAAGAAAATGATCATGAACGAAAATCAATATACAATTACTTTTATATCAATTATAAAGTATGTTCTCTTAGTTATAACCCTGAATTGTTTGCTTCTGAAATATATCTGAATTGTTTTTCCGACTTATTATACTCTTTGAGAAGTAGGATAAACTTCGTTATAATAAAAAATAATTGATTTGATCTTATTGTTTATGATATTGTACAGATAATCTTACGCAAAATACAGAATTAAGAATAAGGTTGATTTATCTAACCTTCGTTCGATGATTCATATTTATGAACGCGATTAAGACTGATAAAGGATAGTAGTTAGATAAAAATATTCCATTCTCATACGAAAAATTTTCACATAACATAAAATACAAATATGTAATCTTACTTGCTTGAAGAGTTTGATTGAATAATAGTATTTTTATTAATAACTAAAGGCTGTAAATTAATCGAAATCTTTTGAAGATCATTAAATTCTTGCTCAATTCGTTCAATATCTTTGGTTAGTGTATCAATATTTTCACTAGTAGCTCCTTGCATTCGAATAAGTTGATCTAAAGTATTTCGTGTTGTATGAAGTTTCTCTAGTGATTTAGTTTTTGCATGCTCAAACAGTTCATCTTTCATGAGCTGGCAAAATTGATCAATTGTTTGATAAGCTGCATTGCGCCATTGTTCAAGCATTAGCAAATTAGGCAAAGAAGTCGGCGTAATATGCTCCACTTTATCCAAAACTGCATTGATTTGATTAGTTAATGGAATCAGTTTTTCACTGAGACGGTCTTTGTGTTCTTTTAAATGATCGAGACATAAATCGGTTTGGCAACAGTGACACGTAGCACAAGAAGCAATTTCACATTTAATAGCAGCACAGGATCTAGCTGATGATGCCATTTTTACGAGTATTTACCTGAAAAAAAGTTGTATGAGATAAAAATAATGTTGGTAGTGTAGAAAGCAATTCGTTTTTCTTTTAGAAGATAAAGGACGATATATAAAGGGATAAACAAGAAGAACAAAGAAATAATAAGAACTATAATTGACTATATTGAAGGAAATTACAAAGGATTTCTAACATAACAACTATACATCATAAACAAAGTCATCGGTACTACTTATGAAAACTTTAGTGAAATATTATTTTGACATATGCTTTCTTCTCTTAACGTATTATATTAGTAGTAAACTAAAAAAGATGTCACCTCTTGATGTAGGATCAAGGACAGTGATGCACGATGAAATAATAATTTATTTCAACTAAACGAAATAGGAGAGAACAACAAGAGAAAGGTAGTGAAGATTGATAGACGGATATATACACATCAAGACGATCAGATTTACGCAGCAACCGTTAATTAAACACCTTAACTGATCAATATGAGCCTCTATGGACAAAGTAATTAGTGAAGGAAAACACAGCTAAGACACAATGAATCAACTGCACGTTACTCTATTGAATCGATAAAGTATTCTTCCTCCGTCTCTCTCTTTCCTCCATCTTTTCTTTTATATGTAAGCACTCAAGAGTGTAACATTTACAATAAACGCAAATACTAGAAAAAAAAGAACGATTAGATATATGTATATAAATATAGTAACGTATTGGAATATTCCATAAAACGAAAGGGAATATTCCATAGAATGAAAGAAAATATTCGATAGAATGAAAAGATAATATATCATATAAAAGAAAAGAGAAAAAAACAAGTATCGAACAGAAAAGCACATGTATACATGGAAAATTCCAATGACAATGTCACTACATCACAGAGAAAAAGGAACAATGAAAGAATTTATATATGATTGTAATAAATATTCTGTTTCCTTTTTTAATTTAGTTGGCAATATGACAAATATAGGAAGAAAAAGAAATCAATCTTTTGTCTCTCTTTTACTTATATTTGTGTGTATGAATTGAAACGACAAAATAGAAAAAGAACTACGAAAATATTAAAAGAGAAAAGTAAATATCGTTCGAATCATATGTATATATATAGTCGTTCTATTTAACAAGGGAAAAGTTCTCAATGTGAAGATACTGGTAAAGTGATTATTGTTGATAGTGGACGGATACCTCATCATCTCTAATGTATACATTTACATAAAATATTCTCACGTAGTTTCAAAAGATTTACGTTATAAAAATGTCAGGATGAATCATCTCTATACCAATTGATGATTTACCAATAACACATATGAGAGGACCCTCTCTTCACGTTGTATCTTATTCGAATGAAGAACAAAAACATAAAAGAAAAAGAAAAAGAAAAAGAAGCAAAGAATGTGAATAACGAAAAACCAAATATAATGTGAAAGAATGCGTGAAGGTATATGAAGATATGGCTGTAACAATACATCTCTATAAATTTTTAATATCATCCTTTTACTTGGTGAAAAAATTATTATCAATATATCAACAGTGATATAAAGTTAAAACGAGATAATTAAATACACAAAACTTCTATTAAATCAATTTTAATTCTGTACTTTATTAGGATTTAAATATGATTAAATAACAAGTAAATTCAAAAATATAACTATTCTATTTTAAATTTATAACCAGCTTGTGTTGTTTTACTGTAAGAATACTTGGTAAATAATGTTTCTTCCTTTAACTTATGTGTCCATAGAGTTGTCACATGGTAAAGGTAAGAGAACAACACGTTTTTTTTTACAACGAAGTGGGTAAAAAGATAGAATACTTTATGTAAATGTTGTGCATAAATAAGTAACAAAGATTGAATTTTACACATAGAATGACAACATCTTCAATTTATCCTCAAGTTATTTTTATTGGAATTTCAGGTCCATCTGGTTGTGGAAAAACAAGTTATGCTACTCATCTAGTCAATCATCTTCATTCGCCTTTCAATATTATTCAATTAGATCATTTCTTTTATCGTAAAATAAATATTAATCATCCTATTCTTGGTCGTATTGAAAGTGAAGAAGAACCTGAAACTTTACATGTTGAAAGTTTATTAAAACTTTTACGTCAAATAAAACATGAACCAGAAAAAATCACTGCATATCATCGAAAAAATAGTTCTATTAAAGACAATAAATATATATTTGTTATTGTCGAAGGTTTTATTCTTTTTGCTTTATCTGATGAATTAACTAATATGTTCGATATACGAATATTTTTTGAATCAACATTATCTCTATGTCGTATGAGACGTTATCGTCGTCGGCAAAAAATTGATGCACAAATACCTGATGAACAAGTTACAGTTTCAAATAAATTTCAGCAATGGTTTGATCATTTAGTTTGGAGTGCATATTTAAAACAACGTGATTTACAATTATCAAAAGCAGAAAAAATATTTCATTCTGATGAATATCAAAATCAGGAATATATACAAATTGATAATTATATTGATCAACGTTTGAAAGACTATAAATAAATAATTCTTTCAATTAAATTTATTTTTAAATATGTATTACATCATAGTGCCTACCTTTTTTTATAACGTGAAGTTCTTTTCTTTTTTATTAACTTATCAATGATCGTAAAAAGATAAGTTTAAATGAAATACATTACAAGATTCATCTTTACTCTTTTTCTCAAGCAAATAAAATAATATGTCATCGATTTCTTGTTACAATATAACAAATTATTATGATCCGAGATGTTCTCATGGTTCGAATTCTATATTATTATTACTCCCAGTATTAACTATCTGTATTGTACTATGTTTTTTACTATTATTTATATATTTCAAACAACGATATCGAAATCGTATTGGTTTAGAACAGAATTCAAATGTACAGGAAAATGAAAATAATTTAGAATCTTCTGACCCACCTCCTCCATACAGTGTATATGTAGAATCACCACCGCCACCACCATATTATTCAAAATAATTTCTAACTATTATATGTATTATATTTTTTGATGAATTCAAAATTTTTATTTTAAAATAAAGTTGAATTCTTTATATACCCAGATATCATATGGAAGATTTTTGTACCTATAATTCATAGACATATTATTTACCAATGTGATAATAAACAAAAACAGCATCTAGCATGTGTCATCAAGATATTTTTCTTATCTGTAATATTTAATTCAATTGATAAATATATATATATATAAATCCTGAAGGGGTTTAGTAGGTCTCGTCGATGTTTTCTCATTATAAGAACATGTTTGAATGTTAGTAATTGACATGATTCTCACATTTGTCTATGATCATCATTAGTAAAACTGCCGACAGGAATTAATATAAGCGATAAATCTATTACATATCTAAATAAACATGAGAGTTCGATAAGTATAAACTAGTATATTATGTTCTTATACAGATGTAAAGATTGACTTTCGACAAGAACTTGCATTTATTAGATGAAAATTCAACATATGTTTTCTTTCTTATTGTATTCGAAAGATTTATACGAAATTTTATCGATAATTAAAGATAACAAAAACAAGAATATCAAATAAGTAAACAAATAATACGAATAGTCAAGCAAATTAAATGATATCAGCGTATATATAATTAATATTGACATGAGTTTATGTTATATGCTGTAATCTATCCACTTCTTTTTGCCAATCCAAGAAAAAGCCTCGACATTAGTATATATACGAAAGAAACGACATTTACTCGTTCTATTCCGCATTGATTTTGTCGATAGATATCCTGTCGTTAATAAGACATATCATGAAAATGAAGTAAATTATATTTGATAAGTTCTTTCATTCTTTTAATGGAAATTTATTCTTTTTTCTTAAATTTTTTACAAAAAAGAAACTTTTTTTAATTAGTAAGAAGAAAAAAATGCACGATGTATAATGAAAGTAGGTTAACTTATAGTTATATGACATGCAATAGTAAATCAAAATGCTTGTTTTTTCTTCTTCCTATAACTAATGTTTGTGAGTTCTAACATCAGTGTAATAAGAAGGCAAGTTGTACTACATATTTTCTTTTCTTTCTCAGATTTCTCAACAACTATCACGTTTTTAATCAGATTTGATAGAACATCGAGTATTACTTTACTTCACAACTACAATCAGAAAAAAATGTTAAACATATCTAATAATACATTAAATCAATTTTATTATCAGTATATTATTATACGTTGTTTAAGTATATATGCACTTATACTTGTTATCGTTGGAACAGTAGGAAATTTATTAACAATATTTATCTTGTGTCGAAAAAATTTAAGACGTTATGTTACAATGAGATATTTAATTGCTGTTAGTGTATGTGATATAATATCGTTATATGGATGGAATTTAAATAATTTTTATAAATTTACAATTAGTTCAAATAATGATAATTTAGAAGAACTATCATTAGTACACTGTCGAATTATGTCATATATGACATTTGTTGGTTTACAATTATCAAGTTGGTGTTTAACAGCTGTGAGTATTGGTAAGTTTAATTTGATCTAATAGGTAAATTAATAAGAAAAACTAGCCATAATTCCTGTAAATTTCGATCTTTAATGACTTATGTATTAGAAATCAACAAAAGTAGTTGAATGTAGTTGTTTTTGTTTCAATAAATATATTTTATAATATGTATGTTATATTAGATCGCTGTTTAAGTCTATATTTCTTAACATGGAAACAAAGTTATGGAAAATTAAGTCGTACAAAATATCATATTGGAATATTGACTGTTATCTGTTTACTTCTTAATTCTCATATACTTATTTTTAATGGATATCGAATTGATTCTCCTAATTTTACTATTAAATGTTATGTTACACGAACAAATCCATATTATATATTTCCTATATGGGAACGTGTTCATCTTGTTGTTTATAATTTATGGCCATTTTCTATGATGTGTTTATGTAATACATATATTATCTATGCAACTGTTCGTTCAGCTCGTATACGTATACCAACTACTAATCAATTTTCTCGTCATCGACAATTATCAATAATGTTAATATTAGTTACATTTGCTTTTGTCTTATTAACATTACCATCATGTATTTATTTTGTATTTTTTCGTCATCGAATGTCAACTAGTGAAAATTTACGTACTTATCGTTATATGGTACAAATATCTTTAGGTAGTGTACAATTTACTGCACATGCAATAAATTTTTTTCTTTATTGTTTTTCAACAAAAAATTTTCGAAATGAATTACATAATTTTATACAAGAAATTATATTTTATTTAACTAAATCGAAAATAACAGCAACAATGAACCGACCAGTATCAAAAACAAAAAACAATTATTTGATTAAAAATCGTTATCATATTCAAGAATCAACAATAGAAAATCAACAAACTGGACAACAATATATATTAAAAGATATGCAAACAATGCTAATTCATTCAGAATAATTCCAATGAGATAGAAAAAACAAACTTGTGCACAACATTTGAATTTTATTGTACTTTGTTTATAAAAAAAAAGGAAGGGAAAACGATCATAGACTTCAAATCAGTAGCTGTCTTTAAGTAAATTCAATGATAGAAATCAATGTATTGCCATTCTTTTTATTTTTATAATAACATATTCTAAGTAAAAGAAAGATCAATTGATTCCTCTGAGTCAAATCAATAACTAACAGAGAAAGAAAAGAAGATTGATCATGATACCTGTCAATATTTCTATATACTTTTGAACTAATGACAAGTCTCATAAATCATCTGGAATCTTTTCAAATGTTAGATTTAAAGTCTTATCAAAAACATTTTCTGCTAAATAAAATATTGAGAAAAAAATTCCATTAATTTTTTTCAGATAACATGAGAAACATTCACCACCTTGAAACAAGATTTAATACAATCGAGAATGTCAAATACTTTCGTCTGATCTCTCCATAATATACATTAAGTTTGAAAACAAGTAGTTTCATTTACTGCTTTTGCGACACTTACAACACAAGAAAAATATACATTTAATCATCGGAATATATATAATAGTCGCATTTACAGTTGGGTGTGGGTGTGGGTGTAGACGTATGTGTGTGATATAAAAATACCACGAATACCCACCCACACCCTCTTTTACTATTTATTGATTTCGTTTTTTGTAACAATATTGTAAAGATAATATCTATTCTATAAATAACTGGTCGGCTGAATATAGTCATATACTGTTGATTTTTTATTGTTTATTCAAAAAAAATAGGCTATTACAATATGTATTTTTGTTTTTTTTTTAAGATTAATTAGTGTGCACTGATTAATTTCCAAATGAAATACACAAGTTATCAATAATAAATTGAGTTCCATTTTGTGTAAGATCACTACCAGTGATTCCACCAACTATTTCAAATGTTATTGTGTCGATATTTGTGCAAAAACCACAGCTGTCTGTAATTTTAGTTGTCGTCAATGCTCTGAATGTAATAATTGATGTAACAGATCCACTTCTAATGGTTTTCATTGTAACATTAAGAGAATTGACCCAAGCGCTAGTGAAACGTAAAGAATCGAACGAAAATCGAGTACCATTTGCTGTTGTAATTGTTACGTTTCCACCAGTTGGATTATACATTACAAAAGGCATACTGGAGGCTGCTACTCGATAGCCACTACTGCTTGGAGTTGTCGATATATTTATATATCCAGCATTCATCCAGTTTAGATTTTTATATCCATTTGGAATTATACCAGATGTGCTCGATGCACCAGGAATATCGTCAAAATTAATAAGAGTTGTACATGCTAAAATAACATATGATTATTTTTTTATCTTATGACATATAAATCTAATTGGCATACTAGCAACAGTTGTCGTAGCAGAAGTAACACTGGTTGTTGAAATCATTGTAGACGATGGTGATGATATTTGAACTGTTATGAAATGCATCAAATGATATATATGAATTTTTCGTTTTATGTTTACCTGTTGTAGAAGTATATGAAGTAACTGTAGTCGATGGAATGGAAGGAGTTGTAGGTCCTGAAAAATCAATGGTATTCTTAAACTTTCTTTTCTTCTCATAAAATAATTTCGAAAAAAAATCTTACCAACACATATCGATGCTATACAACTGATGTTTAAGTCAGTGCGACACCAGCTGTTACTTGCACATGTATCACCATCAAATCTTTGATTTAAACACATTGATCCATCATAAAAAGTATGCGTTGGACATTCACATCGACCAGAGATAGTATCACTGTAAAGAAATCGATTATTCATTCACTGATCACTTGTTGCATTGTATAAAGAGAACAACGATGCATCTATTTCAATCCAACCAACTGAAGTTGTTATAATAGTAGATATGAGAGTGCCCGTATTGAAAGATCCTTCGAATAAACGACATTGATGTGAACTTGAATCAAAATCGAACGTACGACAGAGTATATTTCGATAGCAATGAATAGCACATGTTACGCTGGTACGAATATTTGAAAAGGTAAATATTAGTTGAACATTATTTTCAGGTTGAAATCGATATCCTGCTTGACTGAGTGTAAATTGACTCGGCTGAAAACCGTCAATTATGCACAACAAACATACAAACACTACGAGCTTCATCACAACTTAAAATGAATAATTTTAAAATAGAAAGAAATATTTTGACAGCAGATGGTTAATGACGTTCAAAGTATATAGATGAAAGAAAAATTTTATAACTCGATGAAACATGCAAACCATAGAGCGTCACATAATCATTAAAAAAAGTACATATCGAGTTTTATTTTTAAAGTACTTTCTTTCTAACATAATAGTTAAAAATGCATTCATCCATTTGTTATGAACAAGAATAAAAAGATCTGTTTAGCGATGTTCCTGATATTTTTCAAGATTATGTCTCGAAATAGTTGCAAGTTGAATTTTATGTATTCAATTTTTTTAAAGTTATTACAGTAAGTATCTGTCACTTACAAACAACAACGTTTGTATCTATAATGCCTGTGTTGCTCTTTTCTTTTCCATACAAATGAATATATTTCAATTAGTAACGGTGAAATAAATCGTATTTGATACAACGAAATCGTTTTGTTTGTATTGACTTTTTTTAAATATCTGGAATAGTTTTGATATACTCAATTAATGTTATCGTTGTCTATTTTTTAAATGTAAGTTATTTCTGAAGAATTTTACAATGATGGATGAAAAACTACTGTTTTTTAGAAACTTTAAATTCGTTACTTAAATCAATATTATGCTAAATTTATTTCATTCTATCAAAGCAAGTTATTTTAAATCTTTCAAACCTATATACACAACGAATATATATTTAGCTGTTCATATTTCTCTACAAAATTTTTTCGAAGGTTTCTTTTTTAAATAAAACAATAGATCGATCACTCTGATGCAGATACAACGAGAATTCATAACTTTCTTATTCTAATATTAGAGGATGTATCGGTCTCTCATTTTATCACGTCCATACCCTCTTTATTGATAATGATAAACCAATTGTCGTATTGGTTGATGGAGCAGTCATCCTATTCCGGAAAGTTACACATTCCGGAATCGCTTGGCTCACCAAACTTGACATAATTCAATTCCGGAACTCCTTGCATTCGATTCCTACCTATTCCGGGCGATTCCGGAAAAACCGGAATGTGCACGAATTCGGAAATGCCGCTGCGGAATCGATTCGATTATTCAAGAGGATCATTTCTACATGAAGTATAGCTTGTGCAATTCCGGAAAAGCCGGAATTCCTGCCCATTCCTACCGATTCCGGAAAAGCCGGAATTCCTGCCCATTCCCACCGATTCCGGAAAAGCCGGAATGTGCACGAATTCCGGAATTCCGCTACGGAATCGATTCAATTATTCAGGAGGATCATTTCTACATCAAGCATATCTTTCGTAATTCCGGAATTGGCAGGAATAGCATTAATCTGATGGAAGGAATTCCGGAATTGGCAGGAATCGAATTCGATCCGTTCCGGAAAAGGCAGGAATCGTATGCAAGGAATTCTGGAATTGAATGATGTTAAATTGGGTGGGTGCAGCGATTCTGGAATGTGTAACTTTTGGGAATAGGAAGCATTCTCGGTTGATGAGAATCTGATTAAAAAATGGATATAGAAATTAAAATCCTCAGTTGCCTTATCCATTCGATATAATTATTAATAAAAGAAAACTAATTTTTTTATCATTTCCGATCATAAAAGCAAATGACTACTATCTCCCAAAATAATAGTCGGCTCGTGTATTTCAGTAATAACTCGAGAGCCGAAAGAGCCAGAGAGCTGCGGTTTTCATCATTATGTAGGTAATTGAGTACTCTATGTATCTGCCGATACTAAAAATCCAAGTGGATTCAGTATTCCGTCATCATCTATCTTTTAAAGAGATTGATGTCGTTTTTTCAAGTTTAATAGAGACATATATATATCTAAACCATGCAAAAGATAGTCCATAGGCTCCCCTACAAAATGCCACGGGGTCTACCTCTCTAGCTTTTGTAGTTCTCGAATGGCATTCATTTTTCTGAAATATATTTTATCTATTTTTTTTCCTATAGCGATAATAGTAAAATAGCTTAGGAAAATGCGAAATAAATGGTATGTAACCTCCTAACGACATAGTATATAGATGATTAACAATGATTTAATATAGGGCGAAATGAATTAGTCAATTGACAAAAGAAACGCAGTCAAAGTAAGCAACTCAACATTTCGAAAAAAGAATATTATCGTTTTTCATATTACTATAGTATAAATTGACTAATATCAAAATACTCTGCATTTAGCTTTTTCAACAGTTCTGCATTTGAAACTGAAGTTTTCGCATATTTTTTTTTACGATCACTTATGCTTGAGGGAAATCAGTACAAATCTGATGTAAAATCCTTTATCTTTCGAATTATAAAATTTGTTGAAAGTGAAAAAGATCCAATTATACCTATGCACAATGTAACGGATCGATTAACACATATATTAAATATTTCTCATGGATCTCTTTATATAACTGGAAACAAGAGCTACCAACAATTATGGAAGAGAAAAATGGATCAAAAAGAATTTTACGTTCAACAACAGGTGAAGAAGAAATAAAACTTTCGAAGGCGATGATAATACCAAAAATCAGTTTATCAGAATACGGAAAGGATATGCTAAGATATGTTTTTCATTTAGTATTATCTGAAAAACAATATTCAACGCTACTTCGTTTATTAACAAGTTTGAAAGAAGATTTACCTGATTTTACAACTAATAGCATTACAACGCTATTCAAATATTTGAAGAAATTAGGTTTTGTTTATAGAAAAACTACTTCGGTGAAAGTTATATTAGATTCAACTTATTTTATTGCTGAAAGAGCAAGGTATTTTCATCGATTAAATGTATTAGAAGAAGAAGGTGCTTTAGTTTATTATCAAGATGAAAGTTGATTGAATGCCAACGAGAAGAAAAGAAATACTTGGATTGAATCAGATACTGGTCAAGGAAGATTTCGTACGAATACTGGAAAAGGTAAAAAAAGATTTTAAAATTGATTCATTGGTGGAACATTCTGAACTTCAATCACATGTTTCTTTAGGCAAGAGTGTGGCTGTGGTTGTAGTGAAAATCACGATTTCTCATCGAATTTCTCATAAAAATCATGATTTTCACAACTTTTTCACATAGGTACTCTTCAATTGATAATCCACTATCGTTAAAATCTAAAAGAAATTAAATAAATCTTTACACGTTTGAAAAAAAACCATCTATTTTGCAGTTATGTATGACGCATTCAAATATTGAAAGAAAGTAAAGACGTCATCAACTTTGTTTAGCCATTTTTCTAATGTAATTATGGAGAGGCTGTTTTGTATCCACAGAAGTTTGCATATGCTACCCTTATTGTTTTACTCAATACACATGTACTTTTTCTTATTGTAATTATATCAAATCTAGGTATTCTAACAAACTGTTTGTTTTTATCGTTTCTTTTAAAAAATAATCAAAAAAGATTGCCGAACTTTCTTCTTCGTCTGATACATACATTATATATCACACCAGCATAGAAACGAAGGAAAAGAAAAGAAAAGTTAGTTTTTACTGGATAAACGTTTTTCCTCGAGGAAAAAAATAGCTCAGAATGTGTTGTTATGATAAACAATTATTAAACTCACCATAAAATAGTGAAAAAACTGTTTCTTGTTATGTATCTAATAAACAAGATGTTTTGTAGTTCATTAATACTATCATAATGCGATTATCTATTAAATCACAGATCATACTATGCTTTCAACAACCAAAAATTCAAGAATAGAAATGACAGTATACAGTAGCAAAAGAGGGATTGTGAAAGTATTGTCATACTTCGTGTTAGAATCAATCGAAAAAGCCAAAGCTAGAGAGTTTGAGTTTAGAAAATTATTCAATTTTCTTTATTTCTACATAAACTGCGTGAGAATTGATTAGTATATTGCATAATTTGTAACACAAGTTTGAATGAATATCTGGTTTATATATAGACAGGATGAGTTAGAATACTTTTATTTTTATAAGAAAAATTTCATTTGCGATTTAATCTTGATTGTTTTTTTTTTTCAAATCCAATTTTATCTTTATTTATTTTCCATATAACATTTATGTTCTAAGTATGAATATATTGTCTTTAAATAACATATAAGTAGAGGAAAATCGTCTTTTTGAATGGATGTGTTTTTACAAAATAAAATAAAACTCATGACTATTTTCCCATTAGATTAATGAAATAAAATGAGAAAAAGAGAAAAAAATAGTATTTATCGCTCAACAGATTCTGTTTCTTTTATTCTCAGTTAAATTCATTTCACCAACTTGTAATTTAGTTAGTGATGGCTTCAAGAAGAATTTGTCTATGGCTTGTATTTATGATTATTACACAATCAGTTGGAGAAGATATGCGATCAGTTCGAATGTCTTCAATGCGTGATTTGAAATTTCAATGTGCTGGTTCAAGTTGTTTACCATTCATTAATGTCATTACATCGACTATTATGAAGTGTCGAATGGCTTGTTTAGCTCAAATCTATTGTAGAGCAGCCAGTTTTCATCAATCAACTTCTAATTGTGAATTATTTACTGATATGTCAAATGAAATTGCAAATATGACGACTGATACCGACATTACTACTATGATTGTTATTGCTGGAACACGATCTCCGCCTGGTTAGTATGAATATAGTAGATTTAGAAAAAATGTTTTCTTCTTTTAATAAGCTTTTATCATAATTAACTTGTTGATCGGGAATATGTATAGAGATTGCCCATGTAATGGTTCACTTTTTTTATCATCTGTGTAGCATTGAAAATATCGAATATAAACAATAAAACAGAAAATGAGTGGATGCATTCATACCCGTTAATATAGAAGTAATAAATTAAGGAGAGTACCATTCAGATGTAAAAAAAGAAAGAAAGAAAAACGTTTGTTTTGCTTATTCATTACTTATGATAACTAATGAATATTGGAGATAAGTTTTTTTTCTTTCCTTAACTCTACAGTAAAATCTTTGTCATTTTCTGAATTAATAAGAAATCATGAATGGATCGGAAAAATGTTTGATTGCATAGCGAATAGTTACGTCGACGATTGTTTTCGCACTCTATTTGTAGTTTTAATTAGATTAAGCAAGTACTTTTCGTAGTGTATCAACGTACATTCATTAGTGTAAGAATGTAATTGATGGAAACAATGAGTTTAGTATAAATAATCCTCGGTGGTAGTAAGTATTGCAAATAACAGTTTATCTTGCTTTTTCAATTTTCATTAAATTTTAATCAATGGAAAATTTATCCAGTATTTGAAAGGTGTGGGCATGAGTGTACAGGCGGTTGTTGATCACCTCTTCTACATCCATATTCACATCCTATATATATATTGTTAGAAAAGGGATAAATATTATATCATAAGCAAAACTTTATCAAGTTCTGTAGTCTCATACTTATGTCATTTTCGTAAACTAGAACCGACTACGACAACATCAACAACAACATCATCGTCGTCAACCACTACAACAACATCAACATCATCGTCG